AGATTTAGTGGTATCAGAGCTTAGGTTAAATTAGATATCTGGAGATTTAGTGGTATCAGAGCTTAGGTTGAAATTAAGAGCTTGGTTTAAATTAAGAGTTTAGAATTAAATTAAGCACCTCCAGATTGAGTGGCATTAGAGCAGATTGAGTGATATCCGAGCCTAGGTTTAATTGAATACCTAGGATTTGTTTTGGACTTGGCTAGCTAGTGGATTTTAGACCCGTGGTGAGACGAGTGAAGGGGTTATATAAGGGATGATTCTAATTCGTGTTGCCTAAATTTGCTAACCCATTTCGATGAGATGGTAATGTGATTGTTCTTGTTTCTTGCCTTCATACTCTGTGTGAAGTTGTGAAAGTGATCTTGCCCGTTATGTCCTGAAGACCTTGTTTTGAAACTTGGTCATTTTCTGATAGTCTACACTTGTTTAGGCTTGTTACGTGAATAGAATTTTTGTATGTGCTCTTTTGCCACCATTGTAAAATCTGGGGAGTTGCAGAGATTTTTGCTACTAATCCTGTTGGTCTCTACCACTTAGCTGGTTGAGAAATTTGTTCTGTTTGTTTGTCACATGACCAGTGGAGGATGGGTAAACCCTCTACTTGCAAGAGATTCAGGGCTATTTTAACAAGTGTTGTGTGTTTTTCTAGATGCGTTTTAGGAGCTGGATTACTTGGTAATTCCGTTGCTCCTTACCTTCTGAAAGTCTTATAGTGAAATTTCACTTTTTTTTCATTTGGAGCTTCATGGTCTTTTCATGTGGCTCATTTTTCTATATTGGTTAAGCAAGAACAGTGATTATTCAATTGAAATTGTTGTCTTTTTGTGAAGATTGGCAAGCTGTCATAAGTTAAACTCTCTATTGTTGCCAATCTCTACATTCTTGATACTTGGAATTGCTTGAAACTCTTGAACTTCGTCTTGAATCTTTCTTGATATTGCTTGTGCTTGTTCTTGAACCTGAAATCCAGAAATGGATAATGATTATTGAAATCCTCATTATCTTGATTTTTGTCTGAAATTGATTCTTGCACTGTTCTTGAAATCTATTTTGAGTTGACCTTGAAAACCATTCTTGTTTTGACACTGGCTCTTGTTCAAATTCTGTATACTGCTCTTGCTCAATTCTGCATATTCTGTTAGTTCTTGTTTCAGTATACATGTTGATCTTCTTGATTCTTGGTTTTTGTTCATATGGACACCTCTTTAGGAGGGGTGACGATTATCAGAAGATACCTATATGAGGTATCCTAATTCTTGTCTCTTGCAAGAGTTAATCTCTGTATCCTTGATGCCTTAGCTTTGACTTGACTCTAGGATGACTCGATTGTAAATCTGCTTAGCCTCCATGAGCTACGAGGTGAAGGGGTAGTCTTGAAATACTTGATGCCCTAGAGTTTTGTTCCAAGTGAAATGGTTCTTTGATCTGGCTGCTTGGATTTTTGTTTGCCCTTTTAATTAGAAGACAGTAATCTTCTAAGCATCTTGATCCCAGCCATGGCTTTGTTCTGTTAATTAATTCTAGTACTTGAGGTGCTAGATCTTGACATCCTGACATCCTGGTTATATCTGCTCTTGAATCCGTGTTCTGATTGTCATTATTGGAATCTCTTTTGTGGGCTTAATCCTTGAATTCTATTGCTTGTTTCATGGTTAACTCTTTGTCTCTCGATTTTGACTGCTTGGTTAAATTTGATCTTGATTCTTGGTGAATGCCGTTTTGTTGTTGAATTTTTGAGGCATTCTACCTTGCACCCTTGTGTTCCAATATTTTTCCAAGCATTCATATTTTCCATTGATTTATTTTGTTGCAATTCTTGAGATTCTTATATGTCTTTTGATTGTCCTAGCTTTTAACTCTTGTTAAT